AGTGAAGGCCTGTAATATAAAATACACTAAATATTGTAATCAAATAATGAAATATAAAACAAGGGTTTTGAGAGTTGGAAAAAGCTAAATGGGTCTTGGAATTAGAATGGCTTAAATAATTTAGCGCATCGAAATAGTTTTGCAGGTCATTTAGATGAGAAATTTTGTATAGAATATTTCTTCTTTTGACATCTTCCACCTAGAACGAATATTAATGTTACTTGCTGGCGTCAAATTGAAAAAAGTCAGTGAAAAATTGTTGAAAAATATGGATATATTTTCGTTTTTTTTTTATTTATTTATTGCATTTATTTATTAATGCAAATAGAGATATATTTTCTTAGGTAACTTATATTGAATTTCGATAAATAATATTTTTGTCTTTGGCAATTTTCCTCTTAATTATTTCATTGTGGGAGAATTTTTCATAAAATTGCAGAAAATAAGAAAAAAAAAATCTTATAAAATTTCGAGATAATTTTCTATGCTAAATATAAAATATAGAAGTGTCTTTGTTTCAGGAGCTAACAATGAAATTTGATCTAGAATAATTCTTCCTTTGACGACATTCCAAAAAAAAAGATCATTTAAAGGAGATTTTGACTAAGAATTGAAAAGAGTTCCATTAGGGGTATGAAGTGTAAATAATTTTCACTTTTATTATATAAATTTCGAATGTAATTTTCTTAAAAACTATTGAACCTGGATATATGATGCCCTCTAAGATTTATAGTGAAATGTTGTCAGGAACATTTCTTCCTTTGAAACTTTCATGTATCAATTCGAAAGAGATATGAGAAAAATGTACGCAAAAATAGAGACAAAATTTTTTTTGAAACATTTTTTTTGGAAACGCAATGAAAATAGAGATTTCTTTTCTTCTGCGACTCATAGTAAAATATTATGAAAAATATTTTTGTCTTTGACGTTATCCATCTAAAATGATGATTTGTGGGAGATTTTGGCATAAACTCACATAAAGTACGGAATTAGCCCTTAAATGGGTTTAGCTTGTAATATTTATGAATTCCTGGCTTTCGGGTGAGATTTAGACTATTGATGTATTCTAGGATCTATCGTTAAATTTTATGACAAATTATTTTTATACAATATTCTCTATAGCTACGATCCTATTAAAAGGGAGTTTTTTTGACCATATTTTGAAAAAAGGACCGAAAAAACGCCTTTGGTGGGTCAAAGTTGTTAAGCAAAAGAATCGTCGTATTCTTAATATTGTCGAAGATATTATATGCCTTAAATGTATGGATTCCTAGGAATCTTAATCCGAACATTTCAAAAAAAAAAAAGTGGAGAAGGGCGATAGTGGCTTCTCCCATATTCAGGTTACTTTGCGATGTATACTTACCTAACGCCGTGACTTATAAATCTAGCTCTACCTTCATAATCTGCTGTGTATTTTCTGTAATTGTTAATTTTTTTTACAATTGAAATTGACACTTTATACGGATTCGAGTTGGATGGTATCAATCTGGTGAAGGAAATCAAAAACGTAAATATTTTTCATAGAACAAAAATCCAGCCCCTTGACTACCTCACCAGCGCAGTGTCGAACGAACACCCCAAAACCTGGATTTCTTGAGGCTATTACTCTATAGGAGCTTAGTTCTGCAAAATTTCATGAAAGGGTCGTGATCCTGTTTAAGAGCACATGGTGTCCTATTTGGCTGATATTGTTTTTATACCTTACACCACATAGTGGTCAGGATATTATGTCTTTGTGCATTTCTTTGTAACATTTATGCATGTCAGCCTGTCTGTCCGTCCGTCCGTCTGTCCATTTTTTTGCGAACAAAATTCAGTTCACATTTATTATCCGATTGAAATTAAATTTTCTGAACACCATTTGCTTGGACCAAGGACGAACCCTATTGAAATTGCTGAGAATAGGGTCAAATGTAAATATAGCTCCCATATATATTTTCAGCCGATTTCGGATTACTTGTGCACCAAGTGGCCTATATCAGCCTGGATGACCGGGATTTTGGCACATGTAACCGAATTCAGTCCAGAAACAAGTATATATAATTTAAAGAAAATCGGTTCAAATATAGCTATAGTTCCCATATATATGTCTCATCCGATTGCGATTTGAAGTCCTTCACATTCGTAAAATGCAATCTACAACAATAATATTTGGCACCAGATATCCCATAGGGCTCAGAAATACTTTTGCCTAATTTTATAGAGATCGGTTCAGATTTGGATATGACTTCCATAAATATTTTCGATCGATTTCATGTTTATTGTGCGCTTCAGATGAATAATATCCGTCCAAATAGAGTGAATTTTGGCACTACCAACCAAATTTAGACTGGAAGTGAGTATATCCAATTTGGTGAAAATTGGTTCAGATATAGCTATAGCTCCCATACATATGTTTCATCCGATTTGGTGTTAAAGTCACTCAATTCGGAATATGCATTCTACAACAATTATATTTGGTACAGATATCAGAAACAGCTCAGACATACCTCTGCAAAATTTTTATCGAAATCGGTTGAGATGTGGATATAGCCCCCATACATATCTTTGTCCGATCTCAGGTCGGACAGAATTCAGCCTAGAAGCAAGTAATTCAAATTTTGGTGAAAATCGCTTCAGATACAGCTATAGCTCCCATATATTGGTTTACTCTGGTTTGGTGTGAAGGTCTCTCATATGCGGAATATACACTCCACAACAATGATGTTTGATACCGGACATCGGATATAGCTCGAAAACATCTCTGCCAAATTTTTTCGAGATTGGCTCACATAGCTCCCATATATCTTTATCGTCGGAAGTGCCAAAATTCAGTTCAGAAAATTTGTTGCGATATAACTATAGTTCCCATATATATGTTTCATCCGATTACCGATCAATTTTTATCGAGGTCGGTTCAGATTTTTATGTACCCTCGATTTACATCTTCATCCGATTTTACGGTTATAGCTCATCATATATGCAATATTAGTTAAAATTGGTTGATTTTTTTCATATTCAAATTTATTTGTCCATTTTGGTGAAACTCGGTCCGGTATATCTTTTGCTCTAATAAATATTCCTGCAAATAATACAGCATTAATAATTGGTGCTAGAGGTAAAAAAGCCTCCGTCAATTTTGTTGAAATTCGATTCAGAGTTGGATATAGTGTCGAAATCTTAATTAATCTAAAACCATGATACCCATTCAAATAAGTTTCATAGTTGGTACTTAAATTACCAATTTAAACTTTTCTTGTTACGGTAGCACTGTTAAATGCGCATAGTGATGTAGGGTATTATATAGTCGGCCCCGTCCAGCTCTTGACCTTTCCTTGTATTATTGCCAACATAAATTTCTTAACCTACAGAAATTCTTAACCCCTTTTTGAATAATAATTAAGTTTTTTTATAATTTAATTTATTTATTATATTCCATTTTCTTCTTCTCCACCCTATTGTTGAATACAACATTTCTCTTAAATCTCCTTCATTTCATTTGGGCGCCAAATGGTTCCACACTGAGGTGAGTAAGCAAACTAAACCATTTCTTTACTCAAATATCCCCAGAGAACACACCAAAAAACATAGATTCCAAATTTCTATGAATTTTATGAGAACCCGATTGGTGAATAACCTCCAAAAAACATGGAATTCACCACAAAGGCCAACAAGAGAGCCAAAATATGCAGCACACATTGTTAAGTGTTTGCATGTATGTGTGCGTTATGTTGTTGTGGGCCCACAAATGCATAAATGTGGATGCTAACATAAGCAACAGCAGCAACAACAACAACAACACGACCACTTGCCAATGGGAAATTCTTTGGCAGTGCACTCAATGGAGTTATACTCTCTCACAATGTCTCTCTGTGGGCAACGGTAAGCCAACAATTGGAGAGCACATCTTTTTCTCTCTCTCTCAATCTTCGTGAAGTATGTGCGCTCGTGCCTCCACTGTATTGGTGTATCATATCTGTGTGAGTGTGTGTGTTTTTGTCGCGTAATAGTGAAATGCACGCAATTCATAAATTTCGTAAGCAGAGTGAATTCAGTATTGCCGGGATATTCAAACGATTTGGTAGTCGTCGTAACGAGCGAGACGTCGTGTAGCATTTGTAACCCAGTAACAAAAACACACCAAAGCGTTTTACGAAAAATTTCCCCCACTTCATGTAGAACAAAATACAAAAAAAAAAGAAGCAAGAAATCGGAAAATCGAAAGAAAAACAAAACAAGGCCTAAACGAACCGCACACCAAAAAAAAGCAAAAGAAAAAAATACACGAAGAAGAAAACAAAAATCGAAGTTCCAGTTTAGTGTCGTTTAGAATCGTTTGAGCGAGAATAAATAAAAGGATATCTCCTAGGATATATAAATAAAATTTGGAAAATTCTGAAAAAAGTTCTTAAAGAAAAGAAAATAAGTGATTTTCGGGTTAAGCCAGTGAAAGAAAAGTAAAAGTTCCACCGGACGAAAAAAGTCCTTGTGTTTCTTATTCTCTTTGCAAAATTTGTTGAGATTTTTTTTCTGGTCTCCGGGCCTGTGGCTATTTACCCAAAACGTATGAACTTCGTGTACATCGTGGCGTTGGTGGTCTTCGTCAGATCCTTTGTGCAAGGTTTCATCGTCGTCCTTAGAATTTGTGCCATTTGAAGAAAGTGTGTAACGAGAGAGTGTTTTTTTTTTTGTGGTGCGAATTTTCCAAGAAAAGTGTTAAAAGAGTGTTTTTGATTTCTTTTTCGCCAAGGATTAAAGAAAATCGAATTTCGTATGAATGAAAAGAAAAAAAATCAAGCGAAAGTCATATGAAACACCTGAAATTTAAGAATCACATCAAATGAAAGAAATCCTTCAACAAAACAAAGAAACATCATAACTTTTGTAACGAAAAGCCGAACTTCGTAATCCAACGACCAAGTGTGCGAACGACCCAACGACAAGGATTACAAAAGGATTATTGCAAGCACAAGCATCAATAACAAGGATAATAAAAAAGTAATGCATATGGAATATTA